GAGGCAGGTCTGTGGTACTCCCAGGCCACATAAGGGCGTTCCCAGTGTTTGTGGGCCATGGGGAGGTGTCATCAGAGCCAGAAAAGAATAGGGAAAGTGGGTCATCATGAGGCACTAAGAACATCGCAGTATTTCTTGGATCTTTATATTTTTTTTATTTTCCTATTGATAATGGATATTGAACCCAAGACCTTTTTTTTGTTGTTTTTTTTTGTTGTTTTTTTCCGGTACCGGGAATTGAACTCACAACCTTGTGCTTGCCAGGCAGACGCTGTGCCGCTGAGCTAAATCCCCAGCCCAGAACCCGAGACCTTCATACTGAGCTACATACATCCCTAGTCCTTTTTTTTTTAAATTTTTCAAGACAGGGTCTCACTAAGACTGGCCTTGAGGCTGGCCTTCAACTTGTGATCCTCATGCTTCACCCTCCCAGAATGCTGGAGTTACAGGTGTGCACCACTCTGCCTGGCTTAGATCTTTGTCTATAGTGAACAAGGCCTATGGCTCCGGCCCTGGCTGGCAGGCACCCTGAGCAGAGGTATTGCATGGCCTCCCCAATTGCCTGGCATGGTCAGGGGTTACTTGTGATCTTCCTGCCTATTCTCTTGAGAGCCTGTTCATAGGGATTAACCTGGGGTCAGGGGCCTGTGTCAGGCAGCAGAGCAAGAGAGGAAGCCAAGACTCCGGGGGTGGTGTTGGCGGCTGGGCCTGGACAGTGAGCAGGTTGGCAAGGGGCCAAGTGAGACTCTGTGCCCATTTGGAAGAGGAATGGTGGTGCCTGTGTAGCCCCAGGCCCTGCTCCTGGCTCGGGGCCCCAGGAGTTTGTGCCTGCTGATGTCACGGTTAAGTAATCTGTATTTGTGGTCACCCAGCCCAGGATGGGGCGCTCTGGGAGGAGCTTCTGCTCTGTGAACAGGAGTCAGTGAGGAACACCCAACGCCCTGCCACAGACCCTCTCTGTTCTGGGGCATAGGATGGAGCTCAGCACAGGCCAGCGGAGGACCCGGCCTTCCATGCCCATAGTGTACAACCATCACCTATTCCAAAACATTTTCACCCCACTCCGGGGAAACCCTATACCCACTAGGCACAGACTGCCTGTCCCTCCCACCCCAGTCCCTGGCAGCCACTAACCTGCTGTCATAGGCAGCCGTTTTCTCTGGCTTCCTTTACTTAGCAAACTGCTTTCAAGATTCATCTATGTAAAGCTGGGCGTGGTGGTGCACACCTGTAATTCCAGCACTTGGGAGACTGAGGCAGGAGGATCACTGAGTTCATGGCCAGCCTGGGCTACAAAGTGAGTTCCAAGACAGCCTGAACTACATGCAAGACCCTGTTTCAAAAAAAAAAAAAAGTTATGTTACAGCATCATGAGAGCTCCATTCCCTTTTATGGCCAGAAAATAATCCATCATATGGGACAGCATTTTTTTTTTTTTCTGCTTATTCATTGGTTAAAAACAGCCTCTGAGTTGTGTCCACCCTTTGGCTGTTGTGAAGAGTGCTGCTGTGGACTTTGTGTCTAGCGTTCGTGTGAAGACGAACTTTGACTACTCAGTTCTTTGGGGTGTATACCTAGCAGTGGAATTGCTGGGTCGTGTGGTAAGTCTGTGTCTAGGGTGCTTGCCTGGCACGCACGAGGCCCTGGGTTTCCTCTCCAGTGCTGAAAAAAATCCAAACATACTGCTTTCCTGGGCTCCAAGCTGCATGCAGAGGTGAGCTCAGCCTCAGTCCAGATCTCGTGGTCACTCAGTCATCCATTTGCCCGCTGGCGGGGGAGCTCTTCCAGGACATCTGTTCACTTGTACGTGGTTATTGAAATGTTTCAGCCTTGAGCAAAAACTGCCAGATCTTGGCGTCTCCCGTACCACCCTTGCACAGCCCTCCTCTCGCTTGTTCTCTCCTTCGCATGCATGTGCACATGCACCTCTGTTCCAGAGGGGGCCGGGCCAAGCAATGAGTGCTGTTTTCCCGGTGACCGCTAGGGGGAGGGGTCGACTCTGGTGCCAAAAGCTGGAGATGTCCCTGTGCCCACACTAAGTCTTCCAAGATTTCTCACGGCAGCCACTCTTTGGACGCTGAGGATTTGCACCTGGCAGTGGGATGTCAGATGGCGTTGGACTGAGGCGCTCCTTTCTTTCCCTTGCTCACTTGGGGTGTAAAGTCCCACAATTGAACTGTAGGAAATTCCATTTCAGTTGCTCTGAAGTGAGACCAGGCCTTGGCTGAGGACTCTGGAAGGCACAGAGGACCTCCCCCTGCCACGAGACCCCCTGAGGCCATAGCTCTGGGCTGTGGAAGTGGACGGGATTCAGATCTGAGGGCTTTGACTCCCTAGTTGTGTCGTCCCAGACGTGGTACTTTTAAGTCATGACTGCAGGCCCAGTTCCCCTCCTGTAAAACGGGAGTAACAGTGCTGCTTGCCTGGTGCGGCTGCTACCGGGACTAAATGGATGAGAATGTGGTGGGCTCTGCGTTACTGTCTTTGTCCTTCGTGCAAGGCATGTAGAATAGGAATTCGAGGGCTAGAGAGAAGCTGAAAGGCCAAGAGAAAAAATACCACCTCCCTGGGAGTCCCTGGGCAGAGTTGTCCCCAGGAGGGGGACAACACAGCAGAGATGTTCTCTGACTGGGACCTGGCATTATGGATCTCCCGTCACCATGGGGTCTCTGGGCAGGAGGGACAGGAAGCAGCTGTTGTCCAGCTGCAGGACCCCCAGGCTTGAGTGTGTGGTGCAGGAGAGGAGTGGGTCAGCGCAACAGGACCCAAACCCCAGGCCTCCCCACCATCAGGCCCCGAGTGTGTCTGTTTTCCTCGTTCGTGGAAATTTCACAGGCAGCTTTGACTCTGGTTTTCCATTTGTAAGCCAGACCGATGCCAAGCTGAGGGAAGAAAGAGCCAAGCTGCCGGAGGGGAGCCAGGGCAGGCGAGAATTTGCTATTTCACTTTCTTCTGAATCCAGAAGTCACTAACGCTTTCCACAGCATATTCTCATGTGTTTCTCATGAGCTGCTCCCACTGACCCGCAGCAGGTGGGACAGACATCTCTCCTCTCTCCTCGCAGAAGAGCTGTGCAACCAGGCCCCAAGCCCATTTCCTGGATGCTGTCTGCCAGGAGGAAGTGGAGGAGGCTGGGCCACTTCAGTGATAAAGGCCAGACGTTGCATACAGAACTTAATTTGGGGGCTGGGCATAGGGCTTAGAGACAGAACACTTGCCTAGCTCATGAGAGGCCCTGGGTTCAACCCCCCCAGCTTTAGAAAACAACACTGTTCTGTATAGTCCTGTCAGTATTGAGGACATTTGTTGGCATACTCTCCTAAGTACAGTTATCACAGTTTAACTGTGAGTGTCTCCCTTACTGGGAGGGGAAGAAAAGGACTGTGCTGCCTAGATGAGACTCAGGCTGTCTGTACGGCCTCACTGCTAAGGGCTTGCCAGATGCCATCGGTGTCTTGAGACAAGATAGGGTTACGCCCATTCTACAGGTCGGGATGCTGAGTCAGGACAATGCAGAGATGGGCTGTTTGCTCTTACTGGGGAGCCAGCAGGGGGTGGGGTTTGAAGTCAGATGGTGAGAGTTAGGCCTTGGGCTAGATCAGGGATGCTGGGGAAGAGGGTGCTGTGGACAAACGGCCGGACATGCTGAGCAGCAGTCCACATGGGAGGACAAAGGGGGCGCGGGGGAAACCCAAAGCAAACCCAGGAGGACAGTGTGACTTCAGGGAGATCAGGAAAGGCCCTGTCCTGCTCCCCAGCATCCAAAGAGGGCTTGTGACCTGAAACAGCCCCAGAGGAAGCCCCCAAGGCACCCTGGCTCCTGGGTTTTCCATGGTGCTTTCCAGTAACTTTGCACCTTAGCAGATGTGGATGGAGCGCGTCACTTGTGCCTGTGGTTGGCACGGGCAGTTTCCAGTTCCCTTGCATGTGACCCGGCCACTTGCTTTGTGTTACCCCTCCCCCACCCCACATACCGCTCACCCCGCTCCTCCCCGTGAAGCTCTAACCCGGACTTACCCGGGGTGTTGCTGTGTGTAAAAATACATGGGGTTGAGCCATTTCCTGCTGCTTCCGTTGTTGCATTGTTGCATGGTGATAAGGCCCTGGCTTGCTGCAGACAGATCATCCAGTGGGCAGGCGCGGGCCAGCAGCCCTGGGAAAGCAGCTCCAAGCCTGCCCGACAGCAGCCTGCCGGCACTCCATCCTCCTCTCTCCTGTGACCCTTCCTCCCTTCTCCCTCTCCTTTTCTCCATCCCTCTCCTAGTCTCTGAGTTTTGTGCGTCCCTGATGTGCTTGGGAAGCCTGCCTGCCTTGTGGCGGGGAAGAAGGGCTCTTGCTTCCTTCCTGCTAGTTCTCTTGCTTCCCCACCGGGCAGCTGCTCCCCACAGGCCCCCAGAGTGCTCCCTGCTGCCCTTAGCCTGTGACTCACCGCAGGCTTCAGACCTTGGGGACCTGGCCTGCAGGCTAGGCCGGGGGTGGGGCACACTCCTCTCCTGAGTCTAGGACACGGGGAAGGGCGGATGCTTCCACCTTCATGGAGCGAAAGAGGTTGCTGATGCCTTCAGAGAACTGGAAGGTAACAGAGGGCTCCTGAGAGGGAGCAACACAGGCGGTGACCTTGGCAGTGTCAGTGAAGACAGGTTGGGTGGGTGGGGCGGTGTCTGGCCAAAGGGTTGGCTCTGGTCACCTCTGAAGGACAGGCTGCTCGAGGCAGAGCCTTGCAGGGAGGTGGGGTCTACTGAGTCAGTCCATCTCCTTCTGAGAAATCTACCCTGAGACCCCTGGTCTACGCCTCCGACCTGCTAGGTTGCAGCCAGAGTTCTGGGCTGGAGGGTTCTGTCTTCACAGCTGTGTTTCTGAATAACTTGTTAGACCTTCCTGCATCCACTTCCCAGGTAGAAGGACCAAGCCCAGAAGTGTCCCTTAGACACAGAATGCTGGCGAGCTGTAGCCCTTGGCCCCATGACTTATCCGTGCCTCCTCTCTACCTCCCTTTCCAGGGTGACAAGGGAGACCTCATGGCCCTGAACCTCCCCTCTGGCACCGGCCACGGTGATGCTGATGGCCCCGTCAGCCTGGATGTGCCCGATGGGGCACCAGACCCCCAGCGGACCAAGGCTGCCATCGACCACCTGCACCAGAAGATCCTGAAGATCACAGAGCAGATCAAGATCGAGCAGGAGGCACGGGACGACAACGTGGCGGAGTACCTGAAGCTGGCCAACAACGCAGATAAGCAGCAGGTGTCGCGCATCAAGCAGGTGTTCGAGAAGAAGAACCAGAAGTCTGCCCAGACCATCGCACAGCTGCACAAGAAGCTGGAGCACTACCGCCGGCGCCTGAAGGAGATCGAGCAGAACGGGCCCTCGAGGCAGCCCAAGGACGTGCTGCGGGACATGCAGCAGGGCCTCAAGGACGTGGGCGCCAACATGCGCGCAGGCATCAGCGGCTTCGGCGGTGGCGTCGTGGAGGGCGTCAAGGGCAGTCTGTCCGGCCTGTCACAGGCCACCCACACCGCCGTGGTGTCCAAGCCCCGGGAGTTCGCCAGCCTCATCCGCAACAAGTTTGGCAGTGCCGATAACATCGCTCACCTGAAGGACCCCCTGGAAGACGGGGCCCCCGAGGAGGCGGCCCGGGCGCTGAGCGGCAGCGCCACGCTCGTGTCCAGTCCCAAGTACGGCAGCGATGACGAGTGCTCCAGTGCCAGCGCCAGCTCGGCCGGGGCTGGCAGCAATTCTGGGGCTGGGCCCGCGGGTGCTCTGGGGAGCCCCAAGTCTAACACGCTGTACAGCGCCCCTGGAAACCTGGACACTCTGCTGGAGGAACTGCGGGAGATCAAGGAGGGACAGTCACACCTAGAGGACTCCATGGAGGACCTGAAGACGCAGCTGCAGCGGGACTACACGTACATGACACAGTGCCTGCAGGAGGAGCGCTACAGGTGGGTGCCTTCGGGGCCTCCAGGGCCCCGGCAGGCGAGGAGAGGCAGGGAATGGAGGCAGAGGAGGCATCTAGAGGGTCTTGGGCTGCTGGCCAGGGGGGGAAGAGGCCTGAAGGAGCTTCCTCCAGACTGAAGGAAGGCTCTTCCTCTCTTGAGATGCTTTGGGCACCCTGGCCTGGAATGTGTTACGTGCACCAGAGGAGTCGCTGATGGCCTCACCTCTGAAGACAGTGACACAAGCCGGCGACCTGGGCTCCAATCCCAGCTCTGTTTTGTGGAGGATTTTGTTTGGTTTTTGTTGAGACAGGGTCTCACTTTGTAGCCCAGGCTGGGCTTGAACTTGCAATACTCCTGCCTCAGCCTCCTGAGTGCCAGGATTATAGGCATGGGTCAGCTCCCAGCTCTCTTGTTGACTGGGTACCTAGCAAAGCAAGGAAGACAGTGTGCTGCGTTGTGCTGGAAGGGAAGACGATGTCACTCCTGTGGTCTCGGTGCTGTTGTGAAAATGCAGGGAGTCCAAACCATAAATTCAGAGTGTGAGCATGCAGCAGCAGAGGAAGCCCCTAGGGCAGCCTGAAATCCAGCTGGAGTCTCGGGGCCCCTTGCTCCCTGGGATTTGGGGACCTTTTCACTAGTTAGCCCTTCTTTTTCTTTCTACATATAAAGAAGTTCTCTGAGGTTGAGGGAGAGCCCTGCCTAAAACCCAGCCACTCCCCAGAACAGTCACCTGTTGATACAGCTTTCAGAGCAGGTGTCATGTCCCCTACATCTAAGTGTCCCTGGCACCCAGGGGGCATCTGAGCCCAGGTAAAGGGCCAGGTGAAAGTCAGCCTATCCTTGACTCCCCCATTCAAGAGCTGTGAGATTCTAGGCAGGTTCCTAGCCTTTGGGTCTCAGTCTTCCGGTCTGTCAAGTGGGGGCACCACTAGTACCATTCCATGGGGCTGTGGTGGGGGCCTGTGAGTAATGTGGGTAAAATGCTCGGCACGACACCTTGCATGTAGAAGTGCTGTGTAAATAATGGCTTCGATGGTTGGTTGTGGAGTTAAAATTAGAACAGGGATGGACCTGGGGAGTGGGTTGAGTCACAAGGAGAGGGGGGTGGCTTGGAGCAGGGTGTCACTCTCTCTCTCTCCCACTGCCAGGTATGAGCGGCTGGAGGAGCAGCTGAATGACCTGACCGAGCTTCACCAAAACGAGATGACCAACCTGAAGCAGGAGCTGGCCAGCATGGAGGAGAAGGTGGCCTACCAGTCCTATGAGAGAGCGCGGGACATCCAGGTACAGCCAGGGACGGCCCGAGGGAGGCCCCGGCCACCACTGCAGGGCTGGGGGCGGTGGGAGTGCGGACAGCGAGGGCGGTGGGTGGGAGGGTAAGAGTGAGCCGGCCTACAGCCAGGGCCAAGGCGAGCCCTGCAAGGGGCCCCTCCCGAAGGCAGCCTTGCAAATGAGTAGTTGTCACCGTGTATAGGTCCTCAGTTCCCTCAAGAGAGAGCTGGGATTGGGCCAGCTCTTCTGCTTCCCTCAAGACTGGCATGTACTATGACAGAAAGTCATAGTGAAGGGCTCTGCCCCCAGCTGCAGCTGATCAGCCCACACCCCCTGGCCTCTGGAGGAGAGACCCTGTGTATCATAACCTTTTGAGTGGGGTGGCGTGTTACTCCCTTTTCCATTGCTGTCGCAGAATGCCCGGGGCTAGGTAATCTGTGAATGGAAGGGTTTGCAGTTCTAGAGGTCAGCAGTGTGCGGCCAGCTTCTGCTGGCCCCTGTGAAGGTCCATGGTGGGAGGCATCACAATGCCAGGAGCTGTGCAGAAGAGATCACGTGGTGGACAGAAACCCAGAGGTTCAGAGGTCAAGTTTGCCCTTTTATAACAACCCACTCTTGCAGGAATTCACTCACTGCTGGTCGCCTTTAGTCCCTCCTGAGGGTGATGCGCTGTGACCTGATTGACATACACTAGGCTCCACTTCTGAGCTTTTGTTTTTCTTTTGTAGTACTGAGAATTGAACCCAGGGCCTTCACAATGAGCTCTGACTCCAGACAGCCACTTTTTTATTTTTATTTTTGTTTTTTTGAGACAGGGTCTTGCTGTGTAGTTTAGGCTGGCCTTAAACTCACTGTGTACCCCAGGCTGGCTTCAAACTTACAGCAGTCCTCCTGCCTCAGCCTCCTGAGTGCTGAAATTACAGGTATGTGCCATCATACCTGACCTTTTATTTTTTGCAATAGGGTCTCAACTAAATTGCCCAAGCTGGGTTCCCATTTGGAATCCCCTTCCTCAGCCTCCCAGAGTACTGAGATTATGGGCATGCACCGCCACGCCTGGCTTAGGCCCCACCCCTTAAAGGTTCCTCCCTTTCCCAACTTCCAGCCTGTGAACCATGGGGGGATCACACTTAAACTCTGCCCTTCTATGGCTCCTGTCCCTGCAGGAGGCTGTGGAGTCCTGCCTAACCCGAGTCACCAAGCTAGAGCTGCAGCAGCAACAGCAGCAGGTGGTGCAGCTGGAGGGCGTGGAGAATGCCAACGCGCGGGCCCTACTGGGCAAGTTCATCAACGTGATCCTGGCACTCATGGCCGTGCTGCTGGTGTTCGTGTCCACCATCGCCAACTTCATCACGCCCCTCATGAAGACGCGCCTGCGCATCACCAGCACCGCCCTCCTGGTCCTCGTCCTCTTCCTGCTCTGGAAGCACTGGGATTCCCTCACCTACCTCCTGGAGCACGTGTTGCTGCCCAGCTGAGTGGCCAGCCTGCCCTGCCCCGTGCTCCCTGGCCCCCTGATGGCCACACTTCTCCAGGAGGGACCCTGGGACTCCAGAGTCTCTTGGACTTCTTCATGTGTCCGGTTTGGCCTCCTGCCCAAGCTGTCCATTCCAGCTGTGCCCGTCCCTGTTCCTGCTTCCGTCTGACACCTTTTCTTTGTGGCCGAATAGAGCAGAGGACACCAGGACTGGGTTGTTCTGATTATTTACAGGACTTCTCCCAGCTGACCTCAGGATGTCCCAGGTCAAGAAGGCCGCTAATACAATAGAAAGCCAGGTCTCTGCCTCAGCTTCTGGCGGAGCCTACCCTGGAGGCAGCCATGGCCTCCCGTGGAGACAGGAAGAAGGCTAGTGAGGGAGAGGTCGTGCTGGCCACAGAGAGCACAGGAAGGAGCAGATTCTCAGCCTCCAGACACGTCCAGGGCTGGAGAGCACGCTCCAACCAGCTCTTCAGAGAGCAGCCCATCCCCACTCCTCTTTCCACGGAGCTGGTTGGCGCCCCGCTGCTGGGGCTGGGCTCTGTGGTGGTCTGAAGGTTGCAGACTTGGAGGCTGGGTGTGGCTTTTTACTTGTGTTTTCCCTGCTAGTCTGTGCCTGACCGGCACTGGATCTTCTGTTTTCAGGGAAAAGGCCCCGGGGGCTCCAAGCCTTGTCCCAAGCCCTTCTGCCTACGGGCGCACGATGGATCCTATTTATTTATTTATTTGTCCCTTCTGCCCTTGCCCTTCCTGAGCTGGAGGGAGAGGACCTGCCTGGTCTTTGCTCTGAAGCCAGGGCTTGCCCTTGGCTCCTCAGGTACTTCCATCCTGTGTAGCCTCTGGAATGTCCTGGCTGGGAGAAGTGGGGTGGAGCCCCCTGACCCCACTATCCCGAGCAGCCCCACAGCTGAGTGGGAAGAGTGCGGCCCCTCTTTTATATGTCTATTTATTTTGTGTGTGTGTATTTGTGGGGAGGAGGCCGTTGTTGTTTTCTTTTTTTAAGGCTCTGGAGTGTTGTGATGGTTTCAGTTCACATCCCGGCCTCCCCACAGGTACTTCCAAGCACAGAGGGCATTTCTTGGAACGGGAGAGAGGAATCCCCTGGAGCAGGGAAAGCAGTGCCTGCCAGCTGTGTGGACCTTCCTGAGAAATAAATAGCCTCTAAATTTTCAAACCATCCTGTCTGCTGTTGGTTGATCAGGCTGTCTGCACGGAAGCCACTGAACCTCCTGCGCACACACCCTGGGCCTCATTTGCTGGCCAGAGGCCTTCCTCTTCCAGGATCTTGATATTGAACAAAACAAGCCGTCCTTCGTGCAGCAACCACTCTAGCTTAAGTGACATGACCCCCACCCCACCCAGCCCCATCCTGCCTACCTGGACTGCTTTCCTGGAGGAGGGAAAATGGGAGAGAGATTCCCACAGCTTGCAGTGGATGAGCTGCTGGAGGCCGGAATGATAGCAGTCATACCCAAGTGTGGCCACTAGATGGCAGTAGAGTCATTACTCCAAACCCTTTCTCAAAGTTCTGCCCCAGGCATCTACTGGGCTTAGCTTTGCTTTGCCAATACCCCCAGCCAGGGGAGAGAGCACCTGCTCCTCAGGAGCTGGTGTGTGGTTTTATTTTCATAGAGGCCAGGCCCACAGTGTCGGCTCTGTGGCTGCTACCCCATCCCTGGCAGTTCCCACAGAAGGGCAGCCCAGAAGACAGGTGCTAGATTCCCAACAGGAGCCACCTGTGTGTATCCCTCCGGGGAGAAGGGATGCTGGCCTGCAGGGAAGGGATTGTGGGAAAAGCCCCCAGGCCCTGGCCCCTAATTAGTGACCTAGCCAATCACACCCTGTCTGGCCTCAGTTTCCATAGTAAATAGGATGGGCACAGTTGCTGCTCATTTTCGTGTGGTTGACCTGACAAGTCTAAAGCTGCATCTGTATCTGCGGCATCAGGCTCCAGGGGAGATAGGGAGTCAGAGACAGTGCCCTAGATGTCCCAAGAGATCAGATCCCAGGACACAGTGTTAGTGCCACATGGGAGGGTGGCATTAACAATTCGACTTTACCCTTTGCACTGTGAGTATTTTAGCCAGTGACCTTACAAAGCCTTCCAACCGCGCCACTCCCAGGCCCTGCACCACCTTCGCTTCCAACCACATGCATGCACGCACCTCCCTTGGGGGCCACAGGTGGCCTGGAGCCTACATTCTTGGGCCCCAGGTAGGGGGTGGCTATTCTGAGTGGCAGACATTTCCCACATTCCTCCCCAAGGTCAGATGCCTTCCTCGAACTGGCTCTTAAATGTCACAGCTGGCCCCAGTCCACGCTGGAGGGAGGAAGGGGAGGAGTGCTGGGTCATTCTTCGCTGGTCCTTTAGGTGCAAGGGAGGAGGACTGGCCCCAGCAGCATCTGCACACAGGACGATAAGCCCTGCATGTTTGCCTCCCGGTGAAAACCAAGTATCCAGAGAAGCCCTGCCTTCTGGCATTGGGTCTGGTGCCTCGGATGGCTGCTGAAGCTACTCTGTTGGCATCTGAGCCCGAGCTTTGTCTGTAAAAGACACCCCTGCCCCGCATGCTGCCTCCAACCTGTCTCCTGCTCTCATGTGGGGTTTACAGAGTGACTCGCTAAATCACAGTCGCCACTGCCACGGGCTCAGCCTCCTTCCGACTGCAGGGCAAACTGCGGGGCTGGCCTGGAGCATCTGTTCTGCAGATGGGGCACTGAGGGCTCAGCCAGGCTGGTGCCTCCCCATAGCCTATGTGCCAAGGAGGGGGCAGTTAGGAAGGCACCTCTGCCTGGACTTGGGGCTTCCACAGCACTGAGCACGTGCTGGCTGTACCTGTGCAGAGCCTGCATCCCACAGCCCTGGGGGACAGTGGTGCCCAGCGGGTGCAGCCCTGGCAAACAGCAGAACACAGCTCGGGCCGGGGTACTCCGAGTGGTTCTAGGCTGCGGAGGGAGGGACAGGAGAACACATCAACACTGCGGGCCGGGAGAAGGAGCTGTCACTGGGGCACCTGATGTGAGATTTTGGGTGCTGCCTAATTTCCCTGTCACTGGCAGGACTCGTGCCCCAGCACTGCCACTTGCCTTCAACTCAGCTCCAGCTGCTGGGAGACCAGTCCTCCGTCTGCCAAGAGGATGGATGACACAGCGCACAGGCATGGGTGTGTGTCAAGATTCATCACAGTACCTGGAACACAACAGAGTAGCCAACCCAGGCGGTTGCTGCCACGCCTCATCCTGAGTCTGCTGGTGTTCAGGCGCAGGGGTAGAGCTGCTAGAGAAGTCCAGGGCCACCCCACAGAACTGAGTGTGCCTCAGACTGCAGCTCCTGAGAGCCCAGCAGAAGCCTCCCACCCCATCCCTCTTCTCTGGGAGCTAAGAGCCTGCCCATTCCCAGAGAGCTCTCCCTTCAGTCTCGTAGACAAAGCTGGTCCAGTCCCAGAGTCCCAGCACAGCCTGGCGGGGCTGGACAAGGCCTGCCTGGCCCAGGCCGGGTGCCACCACGCCACGCTTGTGGGTGTATCAATGTGTGGGACCTTCCCTCCTCTAGGCCATGGGCTCAGGCTTGGGGTCTCTGGCAATGACTACAGTTGGGTGCCCCTGTCCCTTTCTAGCGGATGTCAGGCTCAGGCACTGCAATTCAGGATGGGGGTGGGAAGAGAAGTTTTCCCTTGAGTATGAGTCAAAACTGTGAGGTCATGAGCCTCAGTTTCCCCACTTAAACATGCCTGTGCCACCTGCCTAGTAGGACATGGGTAAGGCCCAGATGTCAGGTGTACATTCCTAGCTCCCAGAGCCCGCAGCTCTCCCCCTTGAGAGCTACCTGTCAGAACACTGCCAGGCCATCTGGGGCGCCCAGGGAGGGCTCTGATCTGCCCAGGGCCAGGGCTGAGCAGGCTTTGGGACAATGGCCAGCAGAGAGGCTTGAGCCAGCCTTTGGGTGGAGATGGAAGGCCTGCAGGACACCGTGGGGGGGGGGTGGAGGTTGAGCTCGCCCCAGCACATCCAGACATGTGGGCAGGTCCTGAGTCACCCAAAAAGCCAGAAGGACAGCCCGGGTGGGGACAGCTGCACTGCCTCCCACACACAGGGAGCCCCCTGGCCGCCCACCTGCCTTCAGCCCTCTACCCCCAAAGCTGCTCTCTCCCTGAAGTGTCCTGAGCCCAGCAGGACTGGACAAGACCCTGGGCCGACCAGCCAGCCACCAAGTCGGCTCTGCTTCTCAAAGCACCGAAGGAGACTGCACAGACTCCAGGTACCCAGGCCCCGAACACTTACTTTCCTTTTTTAAATTTTTGGTACTGAGGAGTAATCCAGAACCTTCACAGTGAGCTATATCCCCAGCCCTTTTGTATTATTTTTTTGAGACAGGGTCTGTTTAAATTGCTAAGGTGCTTAGGCTGGGCTCCAACTTGCAGTTCTCCTGCCTCAACCTCGGACAGTGCTGGGATTACAGGTGTGTGCCATTACCTGGCTACTTGGGTTATTTTTGCAGCAATTTCAGCTCCCTGGAGATAAGTTTAAAGAATATGCTGTGGAAAGAGCTTGGTTAGTCTCTAGCTGGGGCTCGGTTCTCTGGTTTCCTGCAGGAAGGTCAAGTCTTTCAGCAGGTAACAAGTCCCCCACTTGTAACTGGTGCTGTCTCTGGCTACACTTGGAGCTGGGTGCCTGGTCCCTCTCTTAGCTGGTGTGACCCCAGGCTCCCTAACCTGAGACGGAGGCAGGAAGAGAGGCTTTCCTGCGAGGTTAGTCATGACCTGAACTCAGGCCAGAGACAAGTCACCAGCACAGACCTACTACATGTCTGTGACTGGTCCCCGCTTCCTTACTTTCTCAGGCAGGTGGGGCCAGGCCAGGCCAGGCCAGGCCAGGATGGGACAGGAAGGCCGGGAGGCTGGCAATCTGGCAGCCAAGAAGGAAGAGCATAGCAGGATTTCTTTCCTTCTCCGTGTTTCCCTCTGCTGTTCTTGGGCGCTCATCAGCATTTGGCAGCCTGGAGCGCAGGTGTGTGACCCCCAGACACATAGCCTTAGGTTCAACTCCACTCACAAAGTACGGTTTAGTCAGGCCTGTGGTGCAGGCCTATAATCGCAGGACTCTGGGAGGCTGAGGCAGGAGGAGCACAAGTTTAAGCCCAGCCTGGGCAAATCTAGCTTTTTGGCAAGACCATGTTTCACCAAAAAGAAAAAAGAAGGTAGCTCAGTGGCAGAGCACCCCTGGATTCGATCTCGTGCCGCCAAATAAGTAATTAATAATAAATGAATAAATAAGTAAATAAATAGTGTGGGGGACAGCCCAGTACAGAGGCCCTGTACAAAAGAAGCAGAAGGAAGAAAAGGGAGAGGAAGGTGAGGAAGAGACGGGAAAGAAGGCAGAGATGAATGTAGCAGGGCCTGGGCAGGAAGAGCTCGGCTCTGGTGCAAAGCATGATGGGTAAGAGCTGCAGCAGGCCGCAGCAGAGCTGGAGGTGAGATGGACAGGACCACTTGCTCCAGGCACTCATGGCTGACAAGACATAGGCAGCTATCTCATGCCTCAGCCTTGCTCCCACCCCAGGGGCAGGATGCCTGAAGAAGGGGTTTCTCTGTCCATCATAATGAGAAGGAACCAGAGTGAGGATAGCTTTGGGAGAAAGGAAACTGTGTCCCAGAACTTCGCAGATTCAAGGGCTTCAAAAGGGTTGTTCGTGCTTGAGAGCAAAAGGGAGAGAGAAAAGCTTTGGGAGCAAAGGGAAAGGAGAAGCAATGCCCTCAGGAATTCTGTGCGCTGGGGGCGGACCCTCAGCATTCTGTATGGTGCTGAGCAGATCACATGGCCTCTCTAAGGCCTTGGTCTTCCCAGCTCTGTGCAAATGGAGAACTCAGAAAGCCTTAATGTTTGGGGAATGGAAGTTCTGGGTTTTGAAGCTAGGATCTTGTCCATCCTAGGCGGCACTCTGCCCAAATAGGGATTTGGGGTGGAGAGACTCATGTGGCTAATGAGGAACCATGCCCTGGGGGTTCAGGAAGACCCTACCAGGTGTCTGCTTGACACCAGCTTCAGGGCAGCCGCCCACCATGGAGGGGGAGCGGCCGAGGCCGGTGAGCAGGAGTGCACAGAATTGCGGGCTGATGGTAGGTTCGGGGTGGGGAACAGCAAGGTCTGGGACCCTGTGCTCTGATTACCCCAAGGGTC